GAAAGAGGGAGAGGCTGGGGACGTATCTCCTTTAGCAAACCTACAGTTACAGGGAAAGGAGGACTACAGCATGCCAAGGGACACTCTCTTTGCATCGTCAGCTGCGCAGACCATGCCAGTGTCTGGTGTGGAGCTAGAAGAGCTTTTTCCAGCACACTGTTAGGCCCTGAACACAGGATCAGGCTTTAGCTGATGTTAAAAAATAAGAGTCCGCTTCTTCCATAATCTTAGATCCGGCTCTTAGAAAACAGCCAAACAAGGCTGGTTCTACCTGCTTTTTATTACTGTCAGTACAGACTACAGCTGTCCCAGGATCTGCTCAGAATATTAGCCAATGCCTCTATCTGGCAAAGTTACACCTCCAAGGCATGTGCAGAGACCTTCCTTCTGTACAGGCCTCGGTACCTCACAGGGAACACAGCCTCCATCAGCGAGCGGGCTTTGCCACCAGCAGCTTACCAGAGAACCGGCGCTGTTCCATGAAGTCCCTCTGGAACTGGGAGTCCGTGAAAAGCAAGTCGTAGAGTTTGTCCACACTGAAGTTGAACACTTCATTCACATACTGGCGGCCGTTCAGATCCTCGTAAAAGGCTTGGACTTCCCCTGTGGGGAAACAGGCCCGCAAGCCCCAGCCATTAATCTCCGTGCCAATACCAGAGTCTGTGCTTTCACAGTACCAGGACCTTAGTATTTTACTTTGTGAAGAAGGAACCCAAAGAAAGCACTGCTAACCCTTTTCCTCCACTGATCCCAGGACAACAGCTGGAAGGTCAGAAGGGGTAATTAATTAACTACACAGGTTATTTTAGAGACATTCTTCCAAATACTCCACACATTCGCGTTCTGTGGCCCAGGATGGGAATTCTTTGCATCTTCTGAACTCTTAGGTTCCAGAAAAGGAATTCAATATTTGCCACTCCAGTCCCTCACTGGAAAGGATGGGAGAAGGCTGAAAACACCACTGATAGAATGGCCCTTCCCCACATACCTTCATCATGGGTCTCTGACGAGTCACTGAGCTCAGTGGGAATGTCTTCGTTGTCATTGAAGTCTAGGGAAGGGGAGCTCACGGGGCCAATGATCTCTATCTTCTCTCCCATAATATTTGCAATGCCAAGGTCTTTTTCCACAGGACTCTCCGCCACTGCCTCCTCCTCTTCTGGTAGCACTCCATCAAACTGCAGCAAGGAGAGAGCATTATGAGGGCAAGATCAGTACCTGGAAATTGGGGGATACGTCTGAAAACTTTACACCTGTGGGCCAATTTTCATACCTTTGAACACTTGGCCCTGACATGTCTGGAAATTAAATAATATAGAGAGGAGGAAGGTTACCATATGGTGTTTGTAAAACACACGGTCATATTAGATCACCTCCTTTCAAAGAACCACATACAGTTCAAACTTGGGACATACACAAGGCTTTTTGTTTGTTCAGACAAGCAAACAAACAATACTGGTTTTGGCCCTGAACAAGCCCTATGCACCTAGGAAAATCTGAGGTTATATCTAAACAAGGTCTGCTCCGCTGTAATACCGTGAGGGCACACACTGTTTCCTAGGGAGTAACTGAAGACGGAGAAGAAATTACAACCCTTTCATCTCCAACACTCCATTTCTTTTCATCTGAAAGCACGGAAAAGAAAATGCCCTTGCTGCTGAGAGTCCCAGTTTACTGGCTTTTAGGACAGGCATGCTTTGCTCACTTTTTCTTGGCCAAATGCCATGCTCACAGGTATCACTGACTCAAGGACTGTGGTCAGCTGCAGTGGGAGAGGAGCTGCAGGGTAAACAGTTACCTCGTACATTCAAGGACTGAATCCCAGCTGGATCCCAGAGAAAAGGATTACTGCTCCCACTGCAATGGAGGAAAAACACTTACCGAGGCGGGCGCTTCACTGCTTCCCGTAGATGTCAGTGTGCTGGCAGTGACAGATTTCTTTGGCAGCTGAGGGCTAGCTTCTGGCTTGGCCTCCATGCTGCTTTTTGAGGAGCTGTCATTGACTTCATTCTCTTCCACGGGGATTTCTTCACAGTAGCTGAGACGCCACAGAGAACACAGGTTTTTATGTTTACCCCTCTCAGTACAGCTACAACTGGACACACAGAGCAAGTAAGAACACTTCTATGAAGTTTCCAGTCTGACCGGAAGTGGAAATGTCTCCATGCAGGGAGGATCAAGCCCCAACTTTTCAAGTGTTTATACACAGACTGACAAGCATCAGCACTTTCTGACGCTGTAACACGTTGACTGGTTTTGTGACTGGCATGCTTTGGCATCTACAGAACTGCTCATCTACCTCAGCAAGTAGAGAGGCAGGCATTTCAGTCCCTATCAACTTCCATGAGGAAAAGGTACGCTTTCAGCTTTTTAGACATTACACATTTAGGGGGAAACGTTTGGCCAGAACCCAGAATCTCTCACTAGGGACAAACAGCAGTTTGAGGTATGCAACATGTCAGGACTCCTGCTCTCCTGAGGCCATCTTTTCTTCATCACAGGCAGATTTTACTCCTCCTCACTCACCCCATTGTGTTGAAGTCATCATCAGGAGGCACGTAGTCTTCATCATCACTGGTCAGACCCAGCTCGTTCCCGTAACATTGGTGGACAAAGTGCCAGAGCTCCTTTGGACAGAGAGGCTAAAAGAGGGAACAGAGAACAGCATACATTGTCACCTGAGAATACTAAAATAGAATGAATTTTTGGAACTACCATTGTCAGGAGTATTACATTCCTCGCCCTGAAAGGAGAAGTGAGAGATTCTGACACAGCCCCTGATGGGAGGTGAGAGCCTTCCAACGAGCTCACCTCTTCCGAATTCCAGTGGTGCTACAAGGTGGACTGTGTGTTAGTGGCAGGCTGGCCCAGCTCTGTGCTGGCTAAGGGCTGCGGGCGTATGTATCCTTATATTGTTCGGCCCAGCTGGCTTAGAGATAGTTCCCATCAAGCAATAAGAGGCCCTTTCACCAAGTAACCTTTCAGCCTTCACCATCAGCCCAGGTTCTGCCCTAAAATCTGGCTTTGTTATTTTTCCACGCCAGAATCTCATGTTACTTGAGACTATCAGAAAGCCAGTGTGAGGCTACACCCAGAGCAGCACATGAAATGAGATTTCCCAGTACTACGATGCTGTGTGTGTAATAATATAATCAGTAAACCTGCATTTCCCTCCACATGTGTTTTCCTTGCCTCTTCTGTTGTGGCTCCATTTGAAGTCTCCTACCATACCAAATCCCAATGCCTTATGAGGTTTAAACCTCCCCTGCAAGTTTGTTTAAATTAAAGCTGCCTAAAGAATTACAGCTGCAGGGAAAATGATCTAAAACAGCAACAAAGAAAAACATTTCCTCTTGCAGTTTAGAATCAAAAAGAGTTTGTTTCACCAGATAAAATTGTGAAAAGCTTATATAGACTTCCAGTTAAAAAGAGAAACTGAATTATCAAGACCATTTACAAAAGCCCAGCTTTTTAGGGATGCAGGTCAGTTGATCACCATATGACTGCATTCTGCGGTTCTCAAGAAATGGGGCAGGAGAACTTGTGATTTAAATATGTGGTACAGGGATGAAAGGGGATGGATTTTTACCCATAAGGAATTTATGATCAATGACAAACACTTCTTGGTAATGAGGGAAAAGAAATCTAGCGAGCTTTTTCTGAGTTCTTGGCTTGAACTTCTTTCCATAGTCACTGCATGGGATAGGGCAGGAAATTTTTAATCTAGCTCCCACAAGTAGTAATCAAAAGCATGGGAAAAAACCTCTAATGAGCAACTTTTATCCAGCAAAATGTCTAAGTCTGTTTCACCTTCTTCCCACATGCACTCTAACTCACATGTCTTATCGGGGAAAAAAATGGACTAGGTTATTTCTCCCTCTCTCCTGCCAGGTATGGATCCTACATTTGGAAAAAGAGCTCTGGAAGTGTTTCCTGTCTTTATCACTCCACATCTCAGTTCCTGTTTGCTTTGACCTTGAAACCAAGGGCACTGACCTTTGTTAGGAAGTTCAAAAGGCTGATCAAATTACAGCATATGGTAGCAACACAAGCTGCCCAATGCAAAGCGATCCTTTTGCATACTAAATACTACCCCAATTTTCAGGACAGGATATTCTGAGTGCTTGACTACCTAAGCCTTCCAGTATGGTATGAACTCAAGCCAGAACATCTCGACATGCTGGTAGCACTGTAACATCAGTTCATCAGTCTTACTCCAGCAGTGAGGCCAGAAATACTCAATGGACTGTGGAACAGATACTCAGATCAAATATAGGGTATATGGGGCTTCTGGCATAGCAGGTGCACATCCCTGCTTTATTTTAAAATCCAACCCACTGAGCCCTAACCCAGTGCACCCCGCACCCACCATTTTTCTCGTTTCATTTTAGGATGCCCTGAACACATCCTCTTTTTCTGTCCTATCTTGAACTCTACGCTTCTGAAGCACAGACTTACTAAGAGCTTTGCCTGTGCAGTGAGCTGTTTCTGTTGCATTTTGAACTGCCTTCTTCTGGGCTGTTTCACTTGTATTATGGACCTCAAAAAAACTCCTTCCTGAGATGCACGCTTCCACACCTCAGCGGAGGCAAAGTGGCATCTACTGCGTGTGGAAGACGTGTCTGTACATAGACAGAATTCCACGCGAAAAGAGAGAATTGCACCTGCAGTTATGCACCTGCTCTGCCTAAACACATGTGCTTACTGACCCCATGTCTTTTTATGCATATACATAAGTCACAGGTATTATGCTTCTGCATATATTCATCATCTCCCTTTCATCCCACCCCAATACCGAGGTGCTGGTCTCTGTACCTTGTCAAGGAGAGCGTTCTGCCAGAGTCTGAACATCATCATGTACGTCCTGTCTCGAGCCCCAAAGGAAGTAAAAAAGTGCTGAATGGGAAGAGACGGAGAGAAAAATCAGTTCAGAAAAGGCCCAAAAAAGGGAAGAAGAAAAGATAAGCCTGTTTGGATCACTTTGCAGCTACAGTCACGGAAGGACTGAGGAAGCCATAGACCACAGCTGCTCAGTTCTCGGGCACAGACTGAAGCTCACGGAGGCCTCACAGAGAGGCTGAGCCCCTCTCACCCAAGGGAGCGAGTCTGAGCACAGAAACAGTTCCGTTCGAGACATGCTACTATATAACCCAGATCTTCTACCTGGCCCCACACCCCACATACGAGCTACGTGTGTTCCAGACTCAGCCTAAGGTCTGAGAAGCTCTGCACGCAGCCCTTTTCCCTTGCTGCTTCCTCCCAGGCCCCAGGTAGCACAAGCAGTCATTTTGGAAAAATCCCGCAACACACTTCTGTTCCCCAGCCCCTGACAGCCATGAGGGGTGGCCCCAGCAGTGGAGGCTTCAAGGATGTACCTTTTCAGTGTCAGTGCAAACTTGGATGGCATTAGGAATGAGCCGTGCTGTTTTTTCCTTGGTCATCGAGCAGATATCCTTCAAGCGAACTGTCAGCTACAGTCAGAGCCATGCAGAAAGGGGAAGGCAGAAAAAGAACACAGGTAAAGAGAGACACTGATGAGATAAAGAGTGCTTTTAAAGCAATGTCGGCAAATATGCTGACATAAAACACATGCTCAGTGCGGCAGTCTGACAGCCTTACCAGTGTCTCCCAACGGAAGATGTTGCTGTAGAAGCAGATCCAGTTTTCAGAGAGGTAGAGGCGGCCCTGCAGGAGAATGTCTCTTTGCAGCGCACATGAGTAATCTGTGGGTGGACAACAGATGATAACTTAGGAGCACCAAAACCAGAAGACAGGACAGCCTAAAGGTGAGGATAAGCAGGAGCAAAAGAAGCTACTCGACACAGTCCTGCAGAAAAGTCAAAGGCAGAGCCAGAAGGAACTGAGCCACAGCTGCTGCTCTGTCCACTAGGTTATGATTCCTCCCAGGGGCACATCATCTCTCTTACTCACTGATGATCTTGCCTTATTAGCTGGTCATTCTGTAGCATCCTATGTACTATTTCCAGATTTTAATCTGTCTTTTCCTTTTCACCTTCTAGTGCCATTGTTCATTTCCCTCCCTGTTTAAGCCCCCTAAACAATTTCTATTCCTCTGCTAGGATGTGCATCTTGCAACAGTATGAGACATGGTATGAGATCACCAGTTACATAAGATAAAAGAACAGATGCAATGCACTAGGGAGTCACTAATCAGCTGCAAGGCCAAAACCTAAATGGATATGGGAAGGGCAGTCATGCGTGAGTAGGGAGCACCGGGGATGTTAGAAAAACGGGAAGCTCAGTGGTGTGCATGTTGAGACATGCAACCCTGACCAAATGAGGAAAGAGCTCAAACACTAACACACAGTCAGGTTTGGGGGAGCACTATGGAGGAAAACACGCTCCTCAAATCATGAGGGAACAGAGCTGTACAAATCAGCATGTAGCTGATACAAATCAGCATTGCCCTCCCTGAAGCAAAGCGAATGAAACACATTAGAAATGGTGAGGAGGGGTTCCGTCTGTGCACAAGAAAGACACAATGGGCTTGTTCCTTGGTGGCCATCTCTTTGAAGAAGAAAAAGCCGCATGCACATGTGCTGGATTTCCTCCCCAAACCATGGGCCAGCACAACAGACCACTGCACCAAAGGGCTGACCTTACCTACGATGAGACGCTCCGTGTCAGGAAGCTGTTTGAAGAGTTTCCTGAAATCTTCATTCCGTTGTTTGTATGTTGGACTCAACACCTGCAAATAACAGAGTGCCTGTTAAAGAGAGGGGTAGGCATGAGTACAGAGAAATGGAGTGGGAAAACAGGAACACCTTGGTAAGGAGAAGGGGGATCAGATGCACTTACAAAGCATGAGGCTAGGAGCTTCCATCACAGCAGACGCACAGACAGGAGGATTTGGGATTTAGTGCATTGAGAAGAAGAGGAGAACCTGACTTGGGAGAGCAAGTAGAGTAGAACGGCTGTACCCGTATCTGCTAGCTAGCAAAACGGAATTGCATGGAAGCTGTGGCTGCAGGAGGAATCTCTTTTCCTGCAATCCTAGACTGTGCAAGATAGGACACATGCTCTGTTTGCAATGCATCAGTTAGCTGCCAATCCCCAGCTCTCTCAGGAACAGTGCAGCAACCCCAGAAAACAGGCGCTTTAGTACAGCTGCAGCCCTGCCAGAGGAACTTGAACGATCACTGTCATCAAGAGCTCAGGAATAACGCAGTCATCCCTGTTCCTCTCCCCATCAAGCACTCCACCTGGCCGTCAATGAACACGTAACTACCCACTGGTATAGTGAGAAGACTTCCGTGGGGCTCAGACGAGGCTCTCGCAGGGACTCAACCATATTTTGCGCTTATTCTGCAGACACTTGGCCTCATGGAAGGCCTCAGAGAAAACGGTGCTGTTGGCTGGAGGGAGACCAGGAGCTGGCTTCTCCCTGGTGTTTACTAAACTGTAACGTGACTCTGTCCATGTTAGACCACCTCCTACACACCATGCCCACGCTGACAGCTGCTCATAGTAGCCAGAACATCTTTCGAAGGCAGAGTTGACCGAAATAGAGGCAGGTGCAAATTCAGGAGGCCTGCATCTCCCATCTAATCTACCATGTTCTTTCTCCCACAAATGCAGGGAAGGCAAAGCAACCTGGGGTACAACCTCTTCCCTCCCTATCTCCATTTCCTCTCAACAGCCCTCTCCTATCTCTTCCAGCTGCGCAATACAACTCTCCCAAAGCAGAAAGGTGGGTGCATCTCAGAGCCTCCCAGCAAAGGCTCCAAAAAGCAAAGTGATTAGAGAAGGTAGCTTCTGTTTGAGAATGGTGTTGGTGGGGTCGCAGGGGTGGGAGGAATATGAAGTTTATTTAGCATTAGTCTTACAAAATTGCCAAATGCTGTCAAACCAAAGAAAGAAACATGGACCCGCCCCCCAAAGCATTCCCTCTTCTTCACACCAATTCAACGAACTAGAAACAATATTTTTTAACATCAACGCAGCACTTCCCATATTTGCTCCAGTCCTGTGGGCCCAAAGGAAAGGATCTTACTTCTGAATAAAATCTGCTAACCAGAAGATGCCAGAAATATGAACTTTACTTACCAAGCTCCTAGCCTGAACATCTGGAAAAGATCCTGGTCAGAGATGGGCTCCAGCAAGAGCCCAAGCCCAAGATTTCCTGGGACAAGCAGACAGGATGGAAAGGAGCGGGGAATAGGGATTATAATCAGCTCTGAGCTTTGGGTTCAATGCATTGCAGCAACCCAACCCCCCCCCCAGTAAGGGATGTTCTGACCTGTCTAAAACCTGTACTACAACAGATGCTTCTGCTTAGCACCAGAACTTCTGTCAGAGTGACAAACAGTTCAGTTTAGAGACACTCACAGCTGGAATTTCATCTGATCCATGGCTGACATTTTCTTGTGCTAAGTCAACAAGCCGCTCCAGGTCCCACAGCAGACACGGCAGTTCTTGATCCAGCACAAGATCCCAGAGAGCCCCACACTCCAGCAAGGAATCCATAGCGTTCCCTCAGCACTTGCACAGCTCCCCGTGTTCTCAGTCAAACTCTGCTTTTCCTGTTCCTGCTGTCACTGCTTCTTGTTTAGATTCAAAGTCGAAAGAGATACAGCAGCTTGGCAGGAGTTTATGTGCCTTCCCCTACCTTCCTGCTTACATTCAGGTCGTCTGCCCTAGCAGCCTCTGTAGATCTGAGAGAGGATTTGCTCTCCAATGGACTCTGAAGAAGCGGCTCATTAGGGTAAGCGTGCTGGCGGGCAATCTTTGTGCTCTTCTGCTCGTCTCACCAGCTTCTTCCTGTGGACATCACTTAAAGAAGCACTGCAAAAGTGCCGACAGCCTGAGCAGTCCCAAGCAGGTCTGTGCAAGGCATGTGCAGCTCCCAGCCGAGGCCTGATGCCCAGGACTACCAGAGCTAGCAACTGAAATAAGCTCCGACTGCCAGGACCCCACCGGACCAGCTGTAATTCACAGATCTAGCCGCAGTTTCCAGAACTGAAAGGACAGTAAAACAGCTTGGAGACTTCAGCTGCCTTTTTTTTTTTCCCCTTTGAAACCAGAAAAGCAGTTATTCTTATTCCTTCAGTGCCTGCCTCAGGCTCTCCTCTCTAGTCCCTCTCTGCTCTGAAATGCAGCTTCGGTCTTTGTTAACGTTTCTCATGGAAGGAGCGGGTGGGGAAGATACCAAAATGACTCGCACGAGCTTTAAGTTACTGGAGCTGGGTAATTCTGTCGGCCAATGCCCTGCAGTAACCCAGGCTCAGCCCTGCCTCCCAGCAGATGTTTCCTGTAATGGAAAGTTGCTGGACAGAGTGTGCTGGGGGAGGCGCGAGGGGAGTAAGGAGAGACCAGTCTAAAGAGTATAGCTATGAGAAATCAGCCATGTGAGACCCACACAGTTAGAAATCTTAAGGGCTCCACTACTCCTGTATGTATCTCTGAGCTCTCCGAAAAAGCATAGGTCTTTGGAGGTCTCCTTCATTCATTAGCCAGGTCACTTTGGAAAAGAAGGGCAAGGGCTTCCTTCAGGCTCCAGCAAATGAACTCCCTGCAGGTCCCAGGAAGATTGCTTGGAGCGCTGGAACCCCCTGTATCCTTCTGGCCTTTGTCCCCTGCCTCTCCACCTCTCTGCTCAAGTGTAGAAATGCACAGGTAAACGTCCACACCACGACACCAGTGCTGCTCAGCCATGATGCCAAGTCTGTGGAAACAAGTATACTGAAGTAAAATCCTCATTCCTCCTAACCAACTGGGCACATACATCTCAAAAGAAACAAACTAAAAAAAAAAACCAACCAAGCAACCAACCAAGTCCCTGCAAAGCCACTGTTTCATTCCGGGGCCAGTGACTGCAGTTTGCTCACTGACAGGAAGGCCTGACAAGTGCTCTGTCTGCTCAGATGCACCACAAAACCATTGCTGGTGCTAGACACCATACACGTCTCTCTGTTTAGCCCTGTTAGAAGGAAGCAGTACATCCATCTGCCACCCCAAGATGAGGGGACCATAAACAAAATTTCTGTAGCCTGGGAAGGACAAAGAATTAGGATTACAGACATCTGCGAAGTACATGCATTGCTTTACTGAATGGCCCTCTTTGCTGGAAACTGCTTATGGGATTACTTCCAAAAAAAAAAAAAACCTGCCAGGATGCTTCTGTCTACACACCCACCCACCTCTCTTTGCAGAGATGAATGGCACAATTTTTTTTTTCAGAAGAGCTAACCCGGAGGTGGAGACAGCAAACATTAACTCTACTGCAAACAGAGAGAGACGGGACAGGATGGCACTGCAAGGGTGGAGAGGCTTGGTGGGGGAAATGGGGAGAAAAGGGTGACTCTCCGTGATAGGATCTCCCTGTTAACACACGAACAAATCCTCTGAGAGCAAATGTAAAGCAACTGTTGCTGGGGGATGGGACAGGACAGGGAAGTCTGACAACACAAGAACTGAGAAAGGTATAGACTTGTACAGCACTTGGCACAGAAAACAGGTGAGGAGGAGAGATGGCAATGGCAAGAGGCAGAGAGAAAAGGGGGAAGGAAAACCTTATCCAATTTGCATGACCGATGGACTTGCTCTTAACTCTTTAGGGAAAATTTACATTGCTTCTGGACAGAACAGGAAAACTACTGGAAAAGAACAGAATACATTCCCTGCTTGTGTGGGAGAGTTTATATCCCACTGACAGCTGGACTGCTATGCTGATTAATGCCAGCAAAGAAACCGGCCACCTGTCCTGCAGCATTTCTTCCAAACCCAGTCTGGTCTCTTGGGTTTTTTTCCCTTTCTTTTTTTTTTTTTCCCCCCTTTTAAAAGTGAATGTACAGCAGAGGAAGAAGCTTCAAAGTAATCACTGGCCATTTGGGGTAGAAAGTGGATTTGAATTCATCATCACATGAGCTTGCACCAAAAGCTCACTTCTAATTTAGTGCCTCTACACCACAGTAACTGTCAGGCCTGGTAATCCATACACCCAAAATCATGGAAAATCTGAAGGGAATTGCCTATGAAAAATACCTGAAAGACAATGAGTTAACATTGCTCCAGAAACAGTCTGACAAAATGGTTACTGGAACTTAAAAGATGATTGCACTGATTTACAGAAAAAAAGGCTGTTTGTTCAGCACCTTGCTAGCTCATCATCGGGCCTGGATTTTTGCAATAAACCCTGCTTACATGACTGCTGTTGCTGAGTCAGACTCAGGCTGCCACCCATTGGAAAGCCATTTCTGATGTTTTCCCTAAATTGATGCGTAATTTCTTTGTCTTTGTCAGGAACATTTTACTCTTTCCAACAGCTGAGTTTCCCCCTCCACTCTGGTACCTACGAGGTCTCCAGAGGGTACTGCAAGAGAAAAAGACAGCACACCGAGACCAGCAAAGGCTGATTTCTTATGGTGTTCTTAAGAAGCTGCAAGCACTGCTCAAAGGTCTCCACAAAGAAAGGCCCTTCACAGCATCACAGTCCACCATGGATTCTCAGCCACCTCCTAACTCCTAGTGCCCAGGCTTTTGCCGCAGTTTTCCCAAAGGAAAACCTAGGGCTCTCTCCTTTACGTGGCTACCTGCTTGCATCCAAATAAATTTGGATTTATTTCTGAGACTTTCACCTCTTGCAAGCCAGGCTGAAAGTTGCCCTGAGTGCACAGCATTTGTTTGCAGAACTGCAGGTGCAGGGCTCCTGTTCCACACCCTGTTTGATCCTCAGTGCAGACTTTGCTCTTCCAAAGACAAATGGGTAGAACTGTGCTCCTGTTGATCTTTTCAGACTTACTAGGACAGCAAATGTTTCTAGTAATACTTAAGAACACCTAAAAGAGACAATTAGTGGTTTTTCACTGTAATTTTTTTCCCCCACTAACCAGTCTGGGGCTATCCTGCACGGAGGTGAAGAGGGGATGGTTCAGGCCAGTTATAGGGAGAAGCTGCAAGAAGAAAAAAATTCAAGCATGGTTGCAAAAGAGAAGGCAGGTGAAAGGAATGTGCCTAGATAAACACAAAGGAAAGGAGTACAGAGTCAGGCAGATCTTCGGATCGGAATAGTAAACTGAAAAGCTCGTGGACAGATACAAATCTCAGCTCTTCACTGGTGTCACCTGTGTTTGCTCTAACTTTTCAAGATCATCTTATTCTCTTTCCTGGGAGTATGCTCTGCAGATTCTCCTGATGCCTGGTGTCTACCCAGGGCAGGGACTACAGGAGGGAATTTACAGAAGCAAGCCTTGCCATAGAGTGGCAGCTAGAAATGCTGCGGAAAATTGGAGACATACAGCCTAACTTAGGAACAGTTAGGGAAGTAGAAGGATCAACGGTCCAACTGAGAGAGAAGTAGGCAGAAAAAAACCATGGCAGACTTGCTAAGCTCAGTGCCTCAACTCTACACTGACCCAAAGACACAAAAACTGAGAGCTCCTCCATGCTCGGAAATGGGGCCCTTCACCCAAAGCCCAGAGAGAAGGAGAAAAACAAAGGAGAGAACTCCCGCCTTTGGCAGCAAAATACCTCCAGTTTGCCTAATTCTAATGACGTCTGCTGGGTGACAAATTCCTTCTACCAACTTGTGGAGTTCCTACCACCCCCACAGCCAGCGCAATCTTGTCCTTCACATCATCAGGGAAGTGAAACACAAATTTCCCACCTCTCTGCACATCAGGTCTACAGAGTAAGTCGCATCTCTGTTTCAGTAAACAAAATTACAGAGAAAATTTGTTTTTGAGATCTATTCTCTTTTTATAAAAATATATTTTAGAAGTATTTTTAAAATAATACATCAATTAACAATAATTCAACATGCAAACACACACGAACTGCATCCTGATGGCTAAGCATAGATGGGTGGGGCCTAAACCACAGCTGACCAACAAGCTCAGTTTCAGTCCATAAGAGCAACAGTTCTTCCAAAACAGAGTCTCCATGTCTGCAGTTCCTCACTAAAGACATGAGAAACACCTCAAGGACTTTTTATTTCTGCTGCTAGTGAACTCAACCAGCCCAGCAATGGTCTGCTCTTCTACCACGAGGACACGAACACAAAGCAAACCCTGTAAGGTCGAGTATATATATTCTCAAACTGGTGTTCTTCTCTACATCTTACAGTGCATCTGGACCAGTTTGCATTTGTCCTCTGGAAAGCAAAGCAGAGAAAGCACACCAAGACCAAGAAAGGGCAGGCCTGCCAAACCAATCCGTGACCCACCCCTTTTCTCCCACTTCTCAATCTGGTAGGGATGCCAATCCCAAAAAGCACTGGTAGGATCAAAAGGAGAACACACAAGGCGAGAGAAGTTGGTAGCATCTTAAGGAAAAAGTAGAGAAAATGGAATCCAGGAGAGGGAAAAAGAAGGGTTCTAACTGGCAAAGAGGGATACAGTGTTACAAGGACAAAAAGACCAGCTAAAAGCAGCAAAAACTGAAGTCATCTTAGACAACTGGCATTCTGACCACCGATGCTCTGGGGATCTTTGGAGACCGTGTGCTCTTTGAGGCAAGAACTGTAATTTGGGTTTGTGTTTGTACAGTGCCTGGCACCCGGGGCTGCTGAACTGGCACAAAGAACAATGTGGAGGGTGTTTGCTCTGAGCATAGTGAAGTTTATGTAAAATGAAAGCAGGGGAAAGCGAGTAAAGGAAATTGTAAGGTTTTGTGAAGGAGCAGCCTCCATAGATTCATTTCCAGAGCTGCTCTTGGGGGGGAAAGGAATAGAAGAATCAGAATGGTCCAAATGCCAGAAACATCCTGCCTGGAAGGAGTTGGCAAAGAAGGGAAAGTATATCAAGGACATGCATTAGCAGATTTTTAATGCTAATTGTACTGCCAATTAGGATCGACTGCCTTCCTGGAGTTTGCAGCCCATCCGTACTTCCACATTGCTGCTTTTATCTGGCCAGAGTGCCTCTACTAACTAGAATATGGTTTGGTTTGGTTTGGTTTGGTTTTCTAAATGAAAATAATTGGGGGGTAAACCACAAAAAATGCAGCCAGTGCTTACTCTCCGGATGTACTGTCTCTCATGCTGAAAATACATATGGAGGAAAAACAAGAGAACAGAAAAATAAGATAGAAAGGACATGAAAACACAAGAGACCCACAGAAGCAGACCACAGGAAAGCATCATGCAGCAGGGTATGGATCTCGGCAGCTACAGTCAGAAGCAGCTTTTGCATAATACCACAAGTCACCTTTAGCCGCGGCCACAGATTCACATTTTTGCAGCAGCTTGGTTGGGCCTGTGCATCTGCCCAAATTGCCTCACTCCATGTTCTTTTATCTGCCACTTCTCCACCAGTTTGGCCTACCATGGTTTATACTTCATTCTTAATGCCCTTGCTGCTATGCTTCTCTCTGCTTCTGAGATCACATCTTTTCCTGTCCTTGCTACTATCCTGGTGCTGATTATATACAGCAAATAAATAGGGCTGCCTCTCAGGCCTCTGTCAAATCTGACCACACTGTATCAGCCAAAATCCCCGGTTCTAATGTCTTAAGCTGCAGGAAGGTAGGAACTGTTGCTGAACACGGAATGGCTGCTGCATCTGCCTACAAAATCACGGTACTGCTGCTATCTACTTTAGAGCACCCGAGGGGTGGGGGTTCAACTGTGCAAAAGTGACACCTATTGTGAAAATCTGCACAGCTTTGTACCACCAGCTTTGTACTGAAAGCACTGCCACTTGTGCTTGCGGAACGAAAATAAGATCAAGGCAGAAGCAAAAGATGGTTTGTGTTTCAGTGAGGTCAATAGAAAATAATTCCTCTCTCGCCCCACACCACCCTGAGAGATGCAAAGGGTTTGCACGGTGGCAGCTCCGTTTGTCACCACATCAAGACAAACTCTGCTGGGAAACTGGAAGGTACGGGATGTGAAGATCATCAGAAGAGTGACTGAAAAGACAAAGCTTTTGCTCTTTATCTCTGGCATCCTTTCCCTCAGGATGTCAGTCCTCCTTTGCCAGTTCTGAGCCATTTCCATCTCCTCTTTTAGGAAATGGTCAGTATGCCCCAGTGCCACTGCAAAGCCCCTTTGCACCTTTCCCCCCACCCAGGTACCCGGCCCATATTCACCCAGGGACAAGAGAAACTGGAGTACTTACATTATACCAACTCTGGCTTTTCTGTAAGGACAAAATAAAAGAGAAGCATTAGTTAGCACAGAGATCTTAGGATCAAAAAGAAAGATGGACAGAGAAACTAGGTCCAATCTGGTTTGTATAATTAGTGAAGTGAAAGTGGGATTAAACGGAAGTTTTCAATGGATTTCACAGTGTGGTCTAACACAGTTATTTCCAGTTACAGGAACAAAGAACAAATCCAGAAGCACGAGTCCATAATAGGAAACAATTCAGGCTAATGTGTGCATGTCCACATGCACGCACACACACACCAACTCACGCGCGCATGCTGCAATCATTTTTGCAGAACAGCAGCGCCCGCTAGCAACAGAGGAGCTAATCATAATCATTGCCAGCCATTTCTTTTAGAGGCTTCATTCTTCCACGTCTGCTGGCTAGGTTGCAAAAATCACATTGCGTTTAATGGACCCTGTGCAAATAAGCCCTCGAAGAACTACCAGAAGGCAGGGACACAATTTTACTCACAAAAGCCATCAGGCAAAACTTTAAAGAGTATTTTAAATTTTAAAAGGGAGACACATATAGAGCCAGGAAAACTGCTGAAGAAAATCAGTAGAAAAGCTAAGCAAAAAAAAAAAAAAAAAAAAAAAAAAGGGCGGGTTTTTTTTTTGTTTTTTTTTTTTTTTTTTTCCCAGAATTTCAGTGCACAGTGTTTTGCATCATCTGCACATGTGATTTTTTTTTTTTTTTTGTCTTCATCATGGCATTTCAGATGGTTTGAGAGGACAGGCCACATGTCACACTGGAGCTAGCTAGTATGAAAAAGCTAGCTCAGCTTGGAAAGTCACACTTGGCAATTTTCAGCTGGAGGTGAGATTTATCTGCACAGAGAGAGGAAGAAATAAGCTTCACACTCCCACTCCAGTCAGGCTGGCTTTCCAATGCCAGGACATTGAGCAGAACTGACAGAACGTATAGGCATCCCCCATTTTAGGGTGGATTTACCTCAGGGCAATGAAGCTGGGGGGCACTGTAGCCTTTCACCACTAACAGTGGTCAGCTACAGTGCATATTGCCAGGGACACTGTGTGTCAGCAGCCACACAGCTGTGCCCGTCCCCCTCTCCCAACCAGCAATGGCATGCCTACATTACACTTGGGGGACTTGAGTCTAATAGAAAAGGACAGAAGCAATATTTCCCTGCATTTCTTTCTTTGACATCATCTTGCTTCTGACCTTGGACTGGGAGTATTTTTCACAGCTTTATACCCAGTCTGGAATATGAAGGAAAGCATACTGTTCTCCAACTTGTAACAGAGGCTGTGGAAGTTTCACTCAGAGTTCATATTCACAGAAACACAGAAACTATCTGCGCTGGGATAGCCCACAACAGGACCAACGACGTACAGGATGTTTACCACAGGAAAGTAAGTGCAAAGTGTTAATGAGATCAGATTGGACCAGAGATTTCTATGAAGACATGGGGTTGCTTACAATGTTCGTTCCCTAGACCTCCCTGCTTGCAGTTTCCTATGCTCCCTATATGCCACTCCAGTAAACAACCTTACTGGCATCTGGATCTCGTTCACGGAGTCAACATTTCTGAAGGATCTCTTGCAACCTTGGACATTTCTGCCAGTTTCACTGCACTGGTCTCTAATGAAAAACCCCACAGTAATACAGTATATGCCACAGGCCAAAATACAAAAGTTTGACGTCAAAAAAGAGCAATACCCCTAAGGCCTTTCCCCAAATCCTGGGAAAAGGATATGAACTGAAGAACTAAACACACAGTATGGCTCATCAACTAACCAGAGGAATTTCCCCTTACTTCCTGCACTTTTCCATACTTGGCCATATGCTCCATTCATAAAGGATCTGGTTGAAGTCATCCTTCTCTGCAAGTAGGACATGGAAAAAGGCCTTATGCAATTCAGCTATACTAAAAAAAAAAAAATCAGGGGAATTAATCTTAACCCATGTACACACCACCTTGTCCTGAGGAGCACAGGGTCTAAGATGGAGTGATTTTCCTGCAAATTTGTTTTGCCATCTGTCTGCCTTAATGAGGCAAAAGGCGTAACTCAGAAATTCCTGGGGAAAAAAAAAATCATAATCAAACTATAATTGGCATACGGAAAACAGAGACACTGCTGTCACTGTGTCTTCTAAATCAGGGTGCACATGTTGTGGTGTCAGCACACTGCAACAGGATTTCATTCCCCTCTGCTACATTAATTGCAGTAACTCTTTTTTCCCCCCTCACGTTTGAATGTCCCCAAGCTGTGGCTCCTCTGTAAAGGAGCTCTGCAGCTTCTCCTTTCTTAAGCTCTTCCACACAATTATACTGACATCCAAGCCTCATCCTTTGCCTCCACCAAGTGTTCTAAACATGAGGAGATTCCTTCCCCCTGACCCCTATGTTTTGCAGGTGGAACAGACTACAGGAAGTCCAAAGAGAAGGGAGACTCTCTGAGTCCTTAGATCTATCTTCAATTTTATTTACCTTTTCTTTAACTCACTGAGAGTCAGAATATAGGGGGATGCTAACTGTGAAAATCAAGAGACAGTATAATGGAGGGGAAAAAAGAAAGAAAAAGGAAAAACATATTCTTACTTTGAGCAGGTTAAGTCTGTCATACTGGAAAAAGAAACCATAAGCATTAGAGCTGAAAAGAGAAAATAAATAAGTAACAGAGGAATGGAGTTGCACACAGAAGTGGAAAAGATGTCACTGATTCGCAGAGACGATGCTATAGGAGCAGATACCAGAGTTCACGGTTACATAGTGGCTGTAACCAGGAAGAACTTAGGAGAACTTGAGGATGGTGAAAAATGGGATATTTTCTCTGAGCCTTTAATTAATATAGTGTTGCCTCTAAATCTTCATGGGTTAATGATCTCATATTTGCATATACTGCTATGGAAGATTACAGCTTTACAGTGCAGATGGGAAGCAGTGGATCAGGCATACGAAGTTCAGCCTGCTAACTTGATGCCAACACAAGTTTCCACCTTTTAGCATTACTGGGAGCAGGATCACAACTCACTCCTACATACTGCTGCTTCCAGGGGAATCGAAATCTTTTGCCAAGTGAATGGCATGCCATAGAGCTCTAGAAGTATCCCTAAGTCCATTTTACAACTGAGGAAACAGTGGCACAGAACCAGGGTGAGGGCAGAGCTTGGAACGGATTCCAGAGCCCTTTCTCCTGACCTGTGTACTTCCAAAATCTATGCTATTTACCTGGCTTCTAAATGCCCATGGACAAATAACTCAAAGAAATCGATGAAATTTATGCCCAAATCCCTCACCCCAATCCAAACCAACCAGAATTTCATGACCTACTACCTAAAAGGGGATTATTCCACCCAATGGGAGGGGTAAATGAGAAGACACAGCCAAACTCTTCTCATAATCGCACACTGAAAGGACAAGGTGCAACAGTCATAAGCTGCAGTAAGGGAAATCCTATTTGGATAGAAGGAAAAAGCCTGTTCACAACAAGAGTGGTTAAGCACTGGAGCAGGGGCACGACGAGGCTGTGGGATCTCCAGTCTTAGAGGTCTGCAAAATGTGCCTAGCCAAGACTTTAGAGCAACCTGATCTAAGCATATCAGCTCTGCTTTGTGCAGGGGGCTTGGACTAGAGACCTTCCAACTTAAACTGTTCTACAATCTCCAGGGCCTACATCAAAATTCATGTTTTCCCCTAACCTGGTATTTACCCTCAGCATTCATTATTAGCTATAGACAGTGGGAAGAACCTGAAGGATTTGCAATGGAGAGGAAATCACTTTTATCCTTGGGCAAGAGCAAAAGAGTTAAAAATACATATTTCATTGTTGGCTGCTAGCAAAAAGGGGTTTTTTGCTGAGTTCAGAAAGCTGTTCCAGAAGCAGCAGTGTTTGCCAGTAAAAGCCTAAGGCTGACACAGGCCTATAGGTGGTTTGGTCCATGCCACACTGGTGGACAGCATGGAAAAGCAAGCTCCAGAAAAGACTTCCTACAGATGTAATCCAGTGCTTAAAAACTCCTGGTGAAGCGCTCCCTCTGATGGCAACACTGCAGCACGACAATTAACACAACAGACAAAAGAGGGCAAGGGACTTCAAGCAGATCTGTCAGCAATTGTATAAACACAGCATCAAACTCATGGGCTCAAGCTGTTTCATTTCATTAGTGAGACAGGTTGGAAAATCAAACCGTTCTTCTTGCAGAAGAGGGGTGGGGAGAGGAGAAGAGGCTGAGAAAGGAGATTTTAAAATCTTTGTCCTTAAATTCTTTCTTCCTAACCTCTCCCTGTCCTGAACAGATACCATCATCATCTGTGTGGGGAGAATGAGGGGGCTTATTACGCCTGAGGTTCCTCACTTGTTCCAGAGAAAGCCACCTTGCGGAGCACAGAAAAGAGATTCAGCCTTCATGCTGCTTTAGGCTCTCCCTGCGCACAGGCTGTGGGTGAGCAGGGCAGGTGGCTCTGACGCAGGCTGGCGGCCGTCAAGCCCTGGATCCTCTTCCTTCTACACATCGGCTTCCTCGCACTGGAGCTCATCTGAGGGCCACTTCCCTCTTGTTTCTGTAATTGTCTTTAAGTTGTTGGTTTTTTCTCTCAGAAAAGCAAGGGTCTGGCTGCAAGTGCATCACAGTACCACTACACATACATTTTATGCATACATCGCTCTCCACCAATGTTCTTCCCACCAGTCCCTCTCCTAACAAACCTCTCCATAGCTTAGGCAAAGCGCCTCCAGCCTTCCATAGCCTAGCCACGACCTGTCCTGACCCACACACCTCTACTCACCAGCAGTCCTTTAAGGACTCTCTGCTACTCCAGACCTGCATTTTCCATAGAACTTCCTTCACACTTCACTTGAGACATTAGTCCCACAGTCCTCCTTTGTAGTTACCCAAGCTACAGTTACCAAGCACAAGACAATCTGTCTAAAAAAAAGACATAAAGAAGCTTCCAGCAGACACCAGCAATCATGCAAGGTCACGCTGGTTACAAGAGGCATTATGACCAAGGAAAAACAGTAAGCCAGCACTGTAGACTTCCCTGCTCTCTGAGAACTTTCCTAGAATGAAATCTAAGGGATCAACCGGGGAAAGGCCAAGGCATTGATTTAATGGATTATGAAGCCATCCAAGCCATTCTGGTTTTAACTTTACTTGTATACATGTGGAAATGCAAACAGCCTGGCACTTTGTCCGATAAGCATCCCATCTGCCTTTCTGATTTTTACACTCTTCTGAGGGTAGCATAGAGATGTGAGATCAAATCTCAAATGAGCTTATCTCCAATCCAAGCACCCACAGAGAGATCTTCTACTTATTACCTTTCAGAGCGAGCCCATGAATTCTCACAATTCATTTGGGACAGGTCTGTTCTAACAGGTTTAAGCTGGGTTCATTTGAAATCACTGATCTTTAATATTTACATCACACAGGAAAGCATGCAAGGGCAGTAAGCTGAGATCACTGGCCACAAAACTATTATTCATCATAAAAAGCAGGCAAGAAGTTATGGAGATCAACTCTTGTTTCTGAAAGGCATAAAGTAAGGAGAGGAAAGAGAAGGGATTATGGCACTGTTCAGCCTACCAAAGCCAACAGATTTCTCCCTGGCAAAGACAGCAGCTCACTTCAAGGGAGAGGGAAAGCAAACCTTAAAACAAATGCTAAAATTAGTTGGAAGTAATTGAAGGAGTGTGATGAACAGGCCAATTCTCACACCATGTGAGCAAATATTAATGAGATCCCAGTGATATAAGTGAAACCAGCTTCTCAGCTACAGGCATCGGGCTGAGCTCTTGCTGACATTCTCGCAGCCGCACCAGGAGAATGCCTTATTGGGGTCACCGCTCAGTACCACAGGGGGGGTGTCTGAGTGATGAGACAGTTCTACAGTGGGGGACAGGAGAGAAAAAAGAAGGCTTACTTTGGAGAGGCGCTTGTGTGACTTAATCGGAGAGAAAGCATGCAGGAATGAAAAGAGAGAAATTAAGGAAAGAAGAAAAATTACCTCGCAAATCAAGAGAAGGAAAACCCACAGACCCAACAGAAAGCATTATATCCCCCCTTCCTTGTGAAAAGCACCGTGAACTCAAGTCAAGCTTTAGTAGTCACCGTGTTGGTAAAAATCGCACTCCCATGGCCTTAAATCACAGCGCTTTATGGGCCAGGGCAACGCAACTCATCTCTCTAATTCCCCCTCACCAAGGACACCATTCCCCTGACAGAGTGCCCCCCAGTGTGGCTATAAAGATAGCGTGCCCTGCATCCTGCCGGCCTCCCATCTGCATGACTTTCTTTTGGGGACAGACTGCTAGCACCATAATGCATGAGGGTCTCATCCGGTCCTGCTGTCATCGGGCAGTTTTTGTAGGTTCCTGTGTGCACAGGAAGCAAGTCTGACCTCAAGGGCAACCTCAGAACTGACGGGTCTCAAATGATTCATCTTGAAAAAAACCCTTCGCCCTCTCTTTTGAACTCACATACTCCTCCCTTAGCAGTGAGAGATCAGTTCAGCCCAGTGAATGTGGGCCGGTGGATGAACACTTCTTGTCTGTGTGACACAATCCAGCAATAAATCAGGCAAAGATCTAACAACTCATTTCACACAAGCCATCAGAGTTATGCCTGTGACACCGTGAAGCTATTCAGGCTGAAATATTTCACTTCAAAAATCTGGAAAAACACAAGTGCTCCTCACAGCTATCTTATAATACACCGCTGACATTAGGGTTATAATCAAAGGTTATGTTTGGCTCCCAAGGCCCTTGTGTGTGTTTTACCAGGTCCCACTACTCACAGAAAATAAAGAGTCGCCAAACCTGAAACCTGCTTCCTCAGTACAGTAAAGCGAAGACAAGGCTGTTTCTAATATGGTCAAAAGACACCATACCTTTCTAGGGAAAATATCATCTACCCTGGCCAAGACAGTCATAATACTGCACCGATAGGAGGCAATGTGCAGAGGATTGACAAACTGATTCTGTGCAACTTGAACCTCATCTCAACACAGGGCTTAAACAGGACTGGAGAAATGCATGGGCCCTCCAGAGGCTGTCTGCACAGAGGAACCTTTATTTGTTCCATGACCCTTGATGATCCAGATGATAAAAAGTAATTGCAACAAGGTCTTTCTCAAACCCACAGAGCCTCCCAAGGAAACAGGGCCTTGACTGCAAGAAGTTTAGCCTACACAAGCCATTATGGAACTGCAGTACAAGCCCATCAGCAACTCATGGACTCAGGTCGCTGAAAGGATGAGAGAGTTGTGCTGAAGGCTGACCTATGCAAATGGCTCCCAGTTAAGAGAATTTTCAGAAGTATGATGGGGGAAGAAGGAGGAAAGTTAGCCAGAGAAAAAAAGGCATAGGACAAAGCCAGTGTACCGCGTTAGAGTGTTTAGAACTGGGGACATGTGCACATTTTGGCCAAAGTCATTTGCTAGCTCCTTACCTTGGAGTTCTTGGCCCCACTGCGGCCTGACTGAGAGGAACAGCTACGCTGTACACCCTGCTCCGGCGTGGAAGGGGATTTGTCTGATGAGTGGTCTGAGCCTTTTTCCACCATGGCGTCTCCTTGGGAGTCCTGCGTTGTCGGGGACCGGGAGCGTTTGCGCAGGATCGGGGAGCAGGCAGGTGTGCTGCGGTTTGAGTTACTGGCAGTACTGCAGAAAAAAAGAAAGAGCAGGGTTAATAATCTTCAAGTCAAACAGAAAGCAACTGCACCCTTGCCTTGAGGTAGAGTGGTACCCGCAGATTTCTCCAGAAGCACAGCAGACAAATGTGGCTTCCTGAAGCAATGCACCCAATGCCACACTTAGGACTTATGCCCCAGTAAAATTAGGCTGTAGGCAGTTATCATTTACCAGTGGCAGAGGGAACGACAACGGCCTGCCAGTGTCTTTCTCCACCCACTCTTCAATTCATCTGACCACAGATGAAGGCCTACGACAATGAACTCATTCTCTCCTGTTGGCTCTGAGTTTAAAATGATGATCTGAGCTTCGAAAACCTAAACTTGCACTCAAGAATGAGGGAGGTGTCAGTGTGTTCTTGATACAGTCCCACTCTGTCCCTCCTTTATTTTATTTCAGCAAGTGTAACTATTCTTTAACAGGATGCACAAAAATGGAATCATATCTTTCAGGAAACACTCCATTAAAGATCATCAAAAATGATGGGGCACTGGGAGCGCAGTCATGATGACAGACGATGCAGTCATGATTTCCTGTATCAAACCATTCTTTCCCACACCAGTTAGAGTTGGGCATGAAAATGTTTTGCTATAACATAAAAGCTTTCACGATTTAAAAAAAAAAAACAAACAACCCCTTTCATAATAGGGAAAAGCGAGACCTTTCAGAGTTTTACGGAAATTATGAAACATTTAGGGGAATGGAACTTCTCATGCCATATCTTCAGTAAATGCCCTAACACCTAAATCAGAAAGCCTGTTACATACAGAACAGGAAAACTCCGATTTCCTCACTGTTCCTTCTCTTTTGATGCCTCTTCTTCCTGCCAGACTCTTCAAAATACCACACGCTACATCCATTTTCCGTACGTAACTCATTTCCTTCAGCAGTTAAATCTATTTATGAGCAGCCCAAACATCTTTGAGGCCCTTCCAGCTGGTACTGTTCAACTCTGCAACCTGCAGGTTACAGTGGAACCTGGGCTGATCCAGGGATGAACTTTGTGCTAACTCTGCCATGCTGAGTTGTTACGGTACCCCGTTATCTTCCGAGCATTAGAAAGCAGGCCACATCTGAGCGACAGAAGAGCAGACAATAGAAAAAGGATGAGGGAATTACAGCTGTAAGGGACTGAATTAAAGAAGCTAGGACAATCAAACTCTTAAGGGCTATAATTTAAGCCCAATTATATACAGCAAACTGAAGTTTGCTTCTCACAATGGGATGTACAGTGAGTTTGTTAAAACAGATCATTTCCTTTCTGAAAATCTAGAAAAGTTGAATACATGCCTGAGGTTTCATTAATTCTCAGATAAAAATCATATCCACCTCTTACCTCTGAAGATGCCAAAAACATTTTACAAATGTTAGTTAGTAGATACGGGTAGATAATGTAATACACTCCTCCAGTACTTATCAGGTTTAGTTTAGTTTGGTTTGGTTTAGTACTGGATGAACTGGTCTCATAAATTATCCTCTATTTGCTCACTGCTTGTGTTAACACACAAGTGATAAAAGTTTCCCTAAACAACTTGCAGAAAACATACAACCAAGTTGCTTATGCAAACATTAACAGAATCAAATTTCACACTCGTACACACAACGAGCTTGCAATCAGCAAGAACAGCAGCACGGCACTTCGCAGAAAACCCTTAGAAGATATTTTCAAGAATATAAAGCGTGGAAGTTCACATAGATAACGAACAGGCTAGAGAAAATGGGTTTGCAAAATGTTCTGTAAGCAGGAAGATGGATTAAATTACAGACTCCACTCTGTTACCTATTTCTACTTAACAGACTGAGAATCATATAGATATAGAATAATAAAAAGCTGCTTGTTCAAATGCCACCTAAACCCCAAGTTAGCTCCAGCGCGAAGACCTGCAGAGTAATTCCCCCCCCTTAGCTCGTTTCTTGACAGTTCACACCTAACAACGGCACATCTCATGAGTGAAATACGCCGACAGCATACTGCATCCTCCTTTTCCCTGCTCAAGACACAGGAATACCGAATACTAACTACATGTACAGCACAACTGTAGCAATATTCAAGCTTTAATCCCTCCAAATCGTATTTGAAACAAAACAGAAGACTGAGCAAGAGATGCTCTGGACCATTCTCCCAGAAGCATTGCCTGCAACAGTTTAGGTATATCATGAAGTGAAATTATCAGGGGTTTTTTTAGCTTACTGAAAGGTACTAAAGTATCAGGTTTCTTCACAGATTTTCAGACGATCCAGTTAATAGAAGAATTTCACCTTTTGTGTCCTCCTGCTGCTACTTCTCCTGGCTAAACTCAAGATGTACACACTTTTTTAACAACCCAGCATGGTTGCATCTAGTGTACCAATTGTAATCAGCAACTACGTGCATGTGCAGAAGGTGCTGTGCAAATGGTACTAATACCTGAAGTACATCAGCAACGCTTCCAGAGATGGAAACGGTTTTGAATTGCCATTCCTACGGTTAAGAACTCTAAATTCTGAGGCTGAATTGCTCCTGCCTCATGCTGTGTTATTGCTTATCTGGCATTGCATCACATTTCCTAAATCTTGCCCCCAGGATGCTTGATTCAACATAAACTGGTTTATGTGAGAGGTACCCGGAAATACAGGGCAAGAATTTGAAGCCAATGTTCCTGAGTCACATATCACAGCACTAAATTTGTCTGATTAGACATACTCATTTTTCTTCCACAGCTCTACTAAACCTGAGTTTATCATACACAACCTCCTTCTCATTTTCAGTTCATCTGAGTTCATACTCACAAGTTTCATTCTGAGTTTCAGGTTCAAGCAACTCTATGAAGACCAAGTCAAATTCAGTCAAGGTTCTGCTTGCTTTCAGGTTACAGTTATGAAGGAGCACTGAGTTTGTATTGCTTCTAAAGTAAAGCGCAAAATATCCCGTTCAAAACCACGGTACAGCTGCACCATGTGCACGTGAAACTCAGATGAAACCTGCTAAGAAGTTCAGTACTGTTTTACTCAACTTGTAATCAAATGAGAAATGAGGCAAGTTTCTCCTTTTGTGGACTGCAATAAATACATTAATACTAGCTCCAATTTACACTCACTCACAGGCATGGAAGATACATTCTCAGTTTTCACACTCTGAGCACACACATGCTCCAAAACTGGCTTAACGTGCCTAGCACAGATACTGCTAAGCAGCGTGCAGCTACGGAGGCCAATTCAAGCTAATCACCCAAGGTCTTACAAAGCTCTTCAGATGGGTTTTTCAGTCATGGCTGAGTAACCCACACTGCTGCAGCTACACAGGAGCAGCATCAGCACTAACTAGCTTAAAGCTCCCATGTGTATGTTTGTCCAGGCTCAGTTCACACTACTGTAGCCGTATGTTTTGGTGCCAGCTCTGCCAAGCACACTCTCAGGCAGACTCTGGCCCCCAGGTTAGTTTTCCAGTCACTTAGCATCTCTGGCATGCTTTAGAAAACTACATCCATCCATACATATTGTGTTAGGTATGTATAACACAATATGTATGGATGGATTATCATCTTTGCAGAGATAGGGAAACAAAAATAGCTTCAAGGGTGCCTTTTTAGGCTCTCCCTTAAGTCAGTGGCAGAAGGCTGATCAAACTCAGGAGGTCTGAATCTGCCTCATACTATCTGATGACTGGGCAATACTGAATATTTCTCACACAAAGGACTCCATGGGTGTGCACACAATGAAGGACACGAAGAGTCTGTTAATTCAGCCTTTCGTCTCTACCACAGCAAGGATGGGCACAAAAAAACACAAGCCTGCAGCTCTGTCCCACTCGCTTCCCCCTGCCCTGAGCCCCTCAAAATTCTCACTGCTCCTGCTCAGTCCCTGAAGTTTGAATCAGACCCAAGGCACAGCCATGACGAACGCTTTCTGCAGTTGCCATAGTGACCAAGGCCTGCAACTGAACCAGGAATCAAAGTCTGAAATGCCAAAACGGCTTGACCCACTTTGAAAAAAAATAATAGTAATAAATAATGCTTTACAGACCTAATTGACCAGAGCGCATTCAGGGCCTCACATACCCCTGCAGTGTAGCCTTTAGTAGATGCAACACATTAAGTCAGGGACAGAATGCAAACAAGCCCACCTAAGCAGCAGCCCCTTGCTCCTAGGTGAAACCCCTGCATAGAGTATATGAAAGCAGAGAAGGCAGAGTTCATCTCCTTGGTTTACGTTCATACCGTGCCTAAGGCACCTCGTCTTATGACTGGAGCTGCAGTAAAAATAACATAAGCAAGTGTGACACGGCAAGGAGGAGGCCAAACTCTGTTCAGTCGCATGGAGGACAAGCCTCGATATCTGGAGCGGCACAGTGAAGAGCTGAGCTTTCCTTTAGGTGGTGGAAAAAGAACAAACATTTAGCAATGCACAGACAAGCTACCTGGTCGCACCCTACTCAGGACACTCCACAAAGCAAGGATGCAAGGCCAAGAAGCAAAAAGGCCAAACTTCCTCATCCAACAGAATATTCCCTGTAAAGGTTTGGATCAGCTGGTGAACAGAGACTTCAGTAAGCAGTACCTTTTGGGACAGGGTACAGTCTGTACTCCACAAGCTAGGCCTGGGATTCATACAGCTATAAAGGAACCCCTGAGGACTCTGCAATGGTCTAATGGAGAACTCAACAAGAAACTTGACTTTGTTCAAGCCTGTTAAATAAATTCGGCACGAATGACATTCAAGCAGACCTGAATTGACATGAAAGTCTGTCCATCCTACCAGATCTTCTGAAATAGTCACTCTGCCTGCCACTACAACACAGCCATCCCTGGGCTTGAGACAAGCACCCTGCTACAGTTCTTTCCCAAATCACACATGCCCCAATAGCCAGCAGCCATCCTCCAGACACAACAGCTTGCAGAAGAGAGGTGTCACAGCCCCTGCAGCTACGCTGTACGATAGCGGCTTGTTGTTCTCCTCTCAGGTAGTGATACACCAGATTAAGAAA